AAATCTAATTGCAAAATCTGACCCTTATAATTCCTCCTGTTGTTATTAACAGGTAACATTTATACATAGAAGCCTTGATGTACGTTGTGCTACAAAAAGAGATTAGAGAGTTCCTGCCCCAAGGAAGTTAACAGCTAAATATCCCATATTATGCTTTCCTTATAACATGCTAGAGTGATGTTATTATATGTGATGTAACAGTTGCTCAACCTCCATCCCACTATAAGGGCTGCAAAATATCTACTGCCATAACCTGTTGTTTTCATATGCTCAGAACTTTCTGAAACTTAAATCTTGCCGCTAAAACTGACTATGGGTAGGCTCTGACCAAAGACTGATTTATTTGCTAGGAAGTATCTTTTTGGTCATCAGTTTATAAAGGTTATACTCCTGCAGTGCTCTGTCAGGCAAAATTCCCAGTGAAATCAATAAGGATTCAGTGAACGACTCCAGGGGAGTTGGATCTTCCTATGTACTATGTGTTGTGTTTTTTCTCTTTACATAACATATGCAATATGAAAGAAACAGTAAACAGTTATTTGTGTCCTGTCTAACATATATGACACACATGGTTTGGATTCATAGGAGAAAATGGGTATGTGCTGGTTAGAACTCTAGCCCTGGATTTGAGAGACTGAGGATCATGTCCCTGCTCTGCTACAGATTTCCTGTTACCTTTGGCAAGTCACTTAATCTCTCTGTGCCTCAGTTACCCATCTGTAAAACAGGAAACAGAAGAACTTCCTACCTCATAAGGATGGAGTTGAATAAATACATTAGGGTATGTCTACACTAGCCTAGCCTAGTTCGGACTAGGGTGGCTAATGTAGTCATTCAAACTTGCAAATGAAGCCCAGGATTTAAATATCCCGGGCTTCATTTGCATGTTCCCGGGTGCCGCCATTTTTAAATGCCCGGTAGTTCGAACTACCTGCCCACGGCTACACGCAGCACGGGCCAGGCAGTTTGAACTAAAGCTCCTAATTTGAACTACCGTTACTCCTCATCGCAAGTTCGAATGACTACATTAGCCACCTTAGTCTGAACTAGGGTGGCTAGTGTAGACATACACTCAGAAATTATGAGGTGTTCCAATATTGTAATAATGGAGGCTAGATAAATACCATTAAAACCTATCAGTATATACACTCTGCTGCTCTGACCGGGCTCTTGTGACTTCAGAAAGAGGGCCACTAACAGTCTCACAAAACATGCTACTGTAGTATATTGGAGTCAGGTAATGGATATATAATTAACTGCATGACTGAACCTATGGTGACATGAAATGGAGTTCTTGTAGCTTGGCTCTATACAGATTTTGTTGGAAAAGTTTAGGACTCACGTGTAAACAGAAATAATTTTCCCATCTTCTGTACTCACATTATCTTATCTCTATGTCACTGAAATGCAATAATTCCACTATCAAAACTGTATTATACTGTCAGAGAGCTAAGAGACAAAAATAAACAGTCTCAGAAGAATATTCTTTCTACAAAAGCAATTTGTTCAGCATATTATTAATACATGGGGAGCTCTTTTTCCTCAGCAGTGTAAAAATCTGCCTTTCGGAGGCCACATGATGCTGTCTGTAAAATGCTAAGAGCAAATACTAAGAGTTACAATAAATAAAACACTTGTCATATTATCCCTAAGTGCAGAGGTCTTTCTGCTTCATTATACTCTGGTAATGGGCATAGTGATTTTATTTGCATAAAGCGCAGATCCCCTTTGATGTAGCTTTTTGTTAAGTTGTTCAAATTATATCAGTTTCTTGAACCATGTGCAGAGCTGGGGGGTTTGTTTTTCTTTACAAATGTTTGAATTTTTTAACCCAGATATAATCTATATTCATATTAGATATAGAGTAAGTTCCTCCCACACACATACACGGAGCAGAAGATTGAGAGAGTGTAAGAATATTTTTGAAAATAAAATATTAAAAGGATGGTTCAATTGACAACCAAAGTAAAGGTAAATAGAACTGGAGTGTCTGATGCCAGCTAGGAAAGTAAGGGTATATCTACACAGCGGCCTTATTTCAGCTATTTGTAACTTCCCCATCTCTCTTCTTTCCTAACATCCATCACAACACAAAAAGATCTTATTCATGAGGAGTGTCTGATGGTTAATGTGTTTTTGCATTTGTTATATTATTTTCTCTCTAAAAATATAAATATCAGTGTTTTTGGAGACTGGTAGGTCTACGTAGCAGCATTATTTTGGAATAATTGATGTTATTCCAAAATAACATAGTGCACATCTACACTACAAGCCTTTATTTGGAAATAATGTTGAGCTGGAGGACTTTTTACTCTGACTTGTTGTAACCCTCATTTCACAATGAGTAAGGGAAGTCGAAAGAAGAGTGTACTTACTTCAACTTCCTGCTGTGTAGACAGTGCCAAAAGGTGAGTTAAACTATTTCAACTTAAGCTATGCAATTGACTTAAGCTATGCAATATCTTAATTAAACTGCTGTGTAGACATATCCCAAGTGTTTCCATTGATAATGGGAAGTGCTGGTAAGACTGACAGTAGAAGTAATATTTCTCCAACTCTATGGGAAACCAAAATTAGTCACTTTCAGAATGGGGGGGGGGGGATCACATTAAAAAGAAGCCAGTGTAAATAAGACAGCCATCTTAAAAAACCTCAACCCCATCTTCTTACTGATGACCATTTTAGGCTGGTGCTGGCCCTGTGAAGATTCACTGTAGGGAGAGGAGACAGTGCTCCTGTGTCTCCCCCTAGTCCTCCCATACAGGATATAGCTATATATTGGCTACAAATGCTGGGGAGCAGAATTGGGGAGTAGTGGAGACTAAGTCTAGGTCTACACTGAGGCGTTCCACGAGGCGTACAGATAGTTGGGAATAGCTTGCTAGTCCGAACTATCTAGCCCGTGCCGCGTGTAGCCGTGCGGCACGGGGTTCGCACTAGCCGGCTTTTAAAAATGGTGACGCCGGCTTTATGCTAATGAAGCCCGGGAAATTCAAATCCCGGGCTTCATTAGCAAGTTCGGTATGCATACATTACCCCCTTAGTTTGAACTAGGGGGGTAGTGTAGACATACCCTTAATAAGGCAATTTACAATGCTGTTTACTTTTGTTCAATATAAAACTCTGCTGTTCGTATCTCTGTGAAAGACTGTTTGTGTGAATGAGATAAGGTGTGAAGGTCGTCATCGTTAAAGCCAGATGGTCAAGAGAGAAAGGGGAGAATGCGGGGTGAAGGCAGACTGTGAAAGACAGAGTTATCATCATCAGAAAAATCATTAGCATGCATCATGATTAAGGAAGGGGCAAGATTGACGGCTCAAAAGGTGAAGGCATCCCTAAAAACAACTGATTAACAATCCAGGACAGGATGACCTCTTGGAGATGATTGGAATGTCAACATCAAAAGATAACAGTAACTGGTCACAGACTCACACAGCGAAATCCACAGACTTCAACAGAGGAAGGAGGATTATAAAAGCAGCGTGCCTTGCCACGGAACTTTGGGTTCATCTTGCCACCAACTCCAGGAGAGCATCAGATCGCTACCAACAAAGCCTGGCTCCCCCTCTGTGATCGATCTGTCTGGCCACTAGATTGATCCAGACTCTGGACTGGTAACTATAACATCATCTGGCGGGACTGTATGTATGGTGTATGTGTGTGTGAGTGACTGAAAAGCATATGCTACTGATGTATTCTCAATAAATGCAACATACTGCTTTTTCCCCTATAAAAGATCTTGTGTGCTTCGTTTAAGCATAACAACTGTGTTTAAGGAATGGAGGTTAATTTTTGTAAAGGTCTAAAAAATGCTTTTACTCACCACCATCCCTAAAAGCTCATGCAAATTAAGAAAGGCCAGAAACAGTCCAACTTGGTATACCTTGATATATGTCATTTAAGACACCCTCTTGAGTCAGACTTCATTAGAGTCATAGGGGCTAATGCAGAGGTGACATGCACCGTCAACCTCTTACACTCTCTCAGACAAGCTTACGCTGACATTAGAGTCTATGTCAGTGTATATATCTTTCACACAGAGGCTGCAAAAAGGTTTGAGGCACAAAATAACATAGCCTTCACCCCACTTTAACTTGCACATTCTTAAATCTTTTCCAGCTCCTCCACAGGAATCCCTCACATAGCAATACATCACCATAGCAGCTCCTACACCAAACTCCATCTTGGTTTCCAGTGTACAGATTGTGGACAGAGCTTTCTTAATCACTGCTCTAGGCAAATGGCAGCTGTAGCACATTAGAGATGTGTGTGTGAGGGGGGAAGAGAGGTCAGCGCAGCACACTGATAAGGCCAATAAGGCGGAAATAAACCTTTAAAACCATCACTGTACCACCCTCTTCCACAGAGCCTCATCTGTAGCAGTGCTGAGTATTCCTGAGCTAATCTGAGATTCTGGCCAGGTATCTGAATTCAGATTAGTCCCACTCTCTACACCGTATAGTTGCTCCCCACTTCTTTTCCTGAGGCAAAATATGGGTCTCAGCATATTATATTTAATTTAGCAGCACACAGTAGCAAAATTGTGACACTGATATTCTGTGCCTTGGCTATCCCAGTATTCTACTTTATGGCCTTCTATGCATTTTTCTTACTGTTAGATCTGAAGAGCAATACAGCTCTTGGATAGCAAGCTAGATCCTATTCTGACTTTTGCATCATCAACAAGATTTTTAGCCACAAGAAGTGCCGATTGCAGAATCTTTGTTAATGCAGATGTAAAAGGCAGAGAGAACAGTTTACAAGTCTCAGAATGCTTTCTCCAGGTATCAGCACTAAAGATATGGAAGTGATTAAGAGAATAAATTTGGAATTTAATTTTTATGGGCAGGGTGTAACTGTTCCTTCAAAATACTACAAGAAATCAATGATAGGCTGAATGAAGGCATCAGGATGTTAGGTCACTTGAGCTTGTTATGGCTGAGAATATTAAGGACCCAGGCCTTTAGTTCAAATTCAGTGTAGATTAGTAATAAATTTAATGGAACCATTTTAAACAGGTTTTTGGAGTCTGAACTGAGATTACTGGGATAATTTCACATAAATTCCCAATGAGCTGATACTCAACAGACACGCAAAGAAGTACATGACAATGGACACTACTCAAAATACTTGTTGGCAGACTCCTCCATGAGCCCAAGGTCAGAATAAGAATAGACACTGAATTACTTTTTCACCCCCACAAATGGTCAGTCTCTGGATTATGGCTCAGAGTACATTAGTGGGACATCATGGGAAAGCTTACATTGTCTCTGTGCTTTTGGTGTGGATGAATCAAGAGCGTCATCTTCGAAGACTATTGCTAAAATTGACAAACAGAAAATGAATCCAGCACCTCCCCTAATTTGGATTATTTTCCTTCCCTCCTGTTGTATTAAGTTAGATACAATGGAGGAGCCCAAAGAGTCAAAGACATGACAGCAATCTGTTACATGCCAATATTAAATACAGTTAAAGAAGGTTGAGGGTTTGGTAGAAAGACCTCAGCCTGCTTAGTACCAGGGCATAAAACACCTACTACAAATCTCTTTAAGAACTGTATCAGAATCTTTAAGATAAGAAGGGAATTCCCCCAACCCCGAAACAGTTGATATTTGAAATGTAAGGTCATACATAAGGCTTTCATATTAAAAATCCCTTGTTCCCTTTCCATTTAGTTGTGGAGGCATTCTAGAAGGAGACTCCCTGTCTGACAGTCTTTTAGGAGTTAGGAATTTTTTTGAGAAAAGAGGAATGGGTTGGAGCTGTTAGTGCTGAATCCTCTCTCTTTTCCAAGAAGGCAGAAGCTGGCAAACACACCTAGAAATGGAGAGAAAAGAAAACCAAGGTTTGAAAATACAGCTTCTGTTTCAGATGTTGAGTCTCACTTGCCATCTCACTGCCAGAGAAATACAGCCACAGCCGAAAGTCATATTAGACATCGAGACTCGTGTCAGCATTAGGCTAACAGGGCATTGCTCTGAGCTGCCTTTCTGGTCACAGTCTCCCAACAGTGTTGCAAATACACACTTTTGGCTGACTAAGCCAGACTAACTAACTGAGGGATAGCTCAGTGGTTTGATCATTGGCCTGCTAAACCCAGGATTGTGAACTCAATCCTTGAGGGGAGTCATTTAGGAAACTGGGGCAAATCTGTCAGGGATAGTACTTGGTTCTGCTGTGAGGGCAGGGGACTAGACTTGATGATGTCTCCAGGTCCATTCCAGCTCTGTGAGATCAATAGTTATATCTCCATATATTTTAACTCAAGAGAAGGCAAAGAAGAGGGATAGGAAAGAATACAAATATGGTAGGGAAGGAAAAGGACACAAGAGGTGCATGTGAAAGTCTCACATCAAATTTGGATTTGGGATTTAGCTAGATGATCAGGGCTGTAAATACAATTTTAAAAGTTAACCATTTAAACAATTAAAAATATCATTTAAATGGTTAACTCTGACTAAATAGCTGGGGCCACTCCAGCTGCCTGTAGTTAGCAGTTAAGGTAGTTAACCAGAAAGACTAATGTTGCCCATTAATCAGTTAATCTTTTACATACAGGCAGTCCCCGGGTTACGTACAAGATAGGGACTGTAGGTTTGTTCTTAAGTTGAATTTGTATGTAAGTCGGAACTGGTACATATTGTAGGGGAAACTCTAGCCAAACATTTCTCCAGAGCTCAGTTTTATTCTCCCACACCTCACTTCCCTCAGTCCTTTATTCTCAAGCTGAGGTGTCTGCTGAGAAAAGCCGCTCCGTGTCTCCCTGATCTGCTGGGGGGGTAGAGGGGGCCCACGTCTCCCTGCTCTGCTGGGGGGAGAGAGGGGGCCGCTAGCTTCGCGTCTGCCTGGTCTGCTGGGGAGAAGCAGCTAGTGCGGGGTTGCCTCACCCCGTTTGTAAGTAGGGATCCGATGTAAGTCGGATCCATGTAACCCAGGACTGCCTGTATTTGATAGACATGGTGGTTGTTATCTAGGTCTTCCCCACTGACGTGGCCTGGTCAGGACTCCTCTCAGGATTAGGATAAAGAAAGTCCAAATCTGATATAGTGGATCCTGGGGTCCCAGGAAATAGGGGTTGTGAGAGCCCCTGTGAGAAATCACACTCCTTCTTGTTCTGTCTTTCAGTCAACCAGTATTGCCTCTGTCAATCAGTTTTTCCTCCCCTTGTCTCTTGTTAAAAACACCACAAGGGAGCAGTGGGTGGAATAGTGTATCCCCTTTTCATTTAGGCCTAGTCATTACGCACCAATTTCTGGTCTACACATCTCTTGGTTTAGAGATGGATATGGGCACTCCTTGGATTGTATCAGTAGGCCTTGCAGTGAAGACTAATTCAGCCAGTGTTCTTTTTGTACCTTTTCCCATCAGTATTTATAGATTATTGTAGTACTTTATAAGATTTCCCACAGGCTCACAATTGAGGTAATTTTGCAGATTCAATTGTTACAACACCCCCTAAAATCCCTGCTTTACTTGTATCCTATTATATTTAAAACAGCTGTGCTGGTTGAATTGTTTGTGGCAGCCACAGAAGTTCTATTTCCAGATATCTTTCTATACATAAAACCTAGAGCCCCAGAGATGAAATAGTAAATGAACAAATGAATGATAAGCAATAGGTTTTTTCCCTTGTACAAGATACATAAGAAAACATAGTCCTTGCCCCAAGAATTTTGTAACCTAAGGCCCCAACCCTGCCATCGCTTCACCCATTGATATAAATTGGGCATAAATTTCTGTAAGCATGGACAAGTCTGCAGGATCATGGCCTAAATAAACAGCCAGCATTAGTCAGACACTGGCATTAAGAGAACCAAAGAAAGGTTCCATATTAGGATATTCTGTCAATATAAAAGTTTTAGGGATGCCATTTTCAAATGCAATGTAGGCCAAATTCCCAGTGAAAATCAAAGGCATTTGGAACCTCAAGCCACATATATCCCATTTTCAAAAGTGACTTAGGAGTCAATGTGCTATGGAAAATTTTAGCCGAAAACCTTATTTCAGCCATTTGTCATTACTAAGAACAGCTTCTCTCCCATGTCCCTTGCAAAGAACTATTAAAATGAAGACTCAATTCTCCGGTGTTTTCCTGGGCAGATTGATAGCAACACAGTACTTAATATGAGTATCTAACCACTGAAATGTTAAATTCTTGAGATTTTACTCTTCATTTTATTTTTCTTTTAAAGCTGAATAAAAAAGGAATTACATCATACATTTATAGGTCATGAAAGAATTCAATTTTTAATGCATTCCAATTATCCACATTTACTCTGTGATAACAGAGACGAGCATTACTGGTTTATCAGCCTCTTCCTCGTAATTTTACCTCGTGGGATTATTATATTGCTTAAGTACCCACAGGATAATTATTTTTCTGTTCAAATCTTTAATCCTAGTTATTTATTTTATTAAACTTCAAGAGCTCAGACATGAATCTATGTTATAAAATGCCTTATTTTTGTGGGTGCTCAATGCCAGACAAAGTGAAGGAACATTTAATGCATATAAATTCTATGTTCTGGTGTTGAACCAAGAGAAAGCAAGCAATTGTAAAAGCTCACATTTCCCCTAAAATACTGTCTCCCAATACAACTCCAAGTGTACAGGTTGATTTTTGCCACATCTGCCATGGAGCCCTGGATTACATGGTGTCTACCAGGGATATGTGTTTGTTTGTATAACTGTTATTGTTAATTATCTAAGCCTGGTGACACTTGGGTATTTTTGTGCATGACTGGGTGGCTGGCTATGATGCGAAACAACTGTAAAGTTCAACTGAAAAGATGAGCATTGGAGACTAATGGGGCAGGTCTGCAAGTTGGCATAAATGATCACAGCACCATGGAAGCAGGTACTAAGCAGTAAAATTGCAGGAATAGAAAGATGCCCACCAGGGAATTTCCAGTTGTTGTAATTCCCTAAGTGTTGGTGAAAGTCTCCCGACACTCAATGTTAAATTAAAGCGGGGAAGGGAGATAAAATTGCTTTGAATACCATTCAGAACCTGTGAATGTGGATTTTCAATTATATTTTCATGGCTTTAGTGGTCTTTGCCATGAATCCTTAAATCTGCCATATAGAAAAAAATCATCTAGGAGTGATGGATAAGGGAGCAGGACCCAAAATATTATAGAACACCTATGCTACACATGGGAAAATGCTGTAAAAGCATTTGTAAATAGTCACGTAAATTACTCAGTGAATTAATTTCAGCCAAGTTAGTGAGTCCCTTTTTCATAGAATCATAGGGTGGAGAGACCTCAGGAGGTCATCATGTCCAACACCCTGCCCAAAGCAGGACCAATCCCAATTAAATCACCCCAACCTGGGCTTTGTCATGACAGGCTGAAAACCTCTCGGGATGGAGATTCCACCCCCTCCCTAGGTAACCCATTCCATTGTCTCACCACCCTCCTAGTAAAATAGTTTTTCCTAATATCCAACCTACACCTCCCCCACTGCAACTTGAAACCATTGCTCCTTGTTCTGCCATCTGTCACTACTGAAAATAGCCTCTCTCCATCTTCTTTGGAACCTCCCTTCAGGAAGTTGAAGGCTGCTATCAAATCCCCCCTCACTCTTCTCTTCTCTAGACTAAATAAGCCCAAATCCTCAGCCTCTCTTTGTAAGCCAAGTGCTCCAACCCTCTAATCATTTTGGTTACATTCCACTGGACTTTCTCCAATGCGTCCACTTCCTTTCCCTAATGGGCGCCTCAGAATTGGATGCAATACTCCAGATGTGCTGGCAGTGCTCATCCTAATGCAGTCTAATGTGCAGTCAGCATTCTTGGCTACAAAAGCACTTTGACTCATATCCAGCTTCTGATCCACTATTATCCCAAAGTCCTTTTGTGCCAAACTGCTGCTTAGCCAGTCCATCCCCAGCCTGTAGCAGTGCTTGGGATTCTTCCTTCCTAAGTGCAGGATCCTGCATTTGTCCTTCTTGAACTTCATCAAAGTTCTTTTGGCCCAACCCTCCAATCTGTCTAGGCCAGTCTAGATCCTATCCCTACCCTCCGGTGTATTTACCTCTCCCCCTAACTTAGTTTCATCTGCAAACTTGCTGAGGGTGGAACCTAAGGTTACCAGAGGCTTTCAAAAAAATACCGCAAAACACTTGATCTAAGATGGAGGGGAGCGGAGCGTACCGGCTGGGAGGGGAACTGGGCAGACCGGGAGGAGGTTGGGGGCAGCAGGGCTGGCCAGGGGAGATTGGGGGAGGGGAACTGGACGGCGGGGAGTGGGGCTGG